ATATATTATATATTATATTATATAGTTTCAGCTCCCGGGATCCGGAAAACCGTGAAGTCGAGCGCCGGCTCTCCCTGGCTCAGGGCCCTGAGCACATCGAGGGATGCACATGGTAGTGACAGCCAATGAACGGTTTAGGGTTTAGGGTTNNTGCTGGGGACCGGGCTGCTGTGTACGAGGCCTGCTGTAAAAAGGGTTTAGGATTCAATGAACCCATGAACTGAGGTTATCCTTCCCGTTGGGATCGGCATGGCAGTCAGATATTTTAGCAGCAAGGGGGCGAAGATCATTGAAAAGGTGGCTTCCGTGATAGGCATGCTTTTTATTTTGGCTGCCTTAGTTGCGGGCGTCGTCACGAATCTGCATGTCTTCGCCGAGAGTTGGAAGCTATGGTTTGCCAGCGCAGTCCTCATGCCGATCGGAGGCATTATGGGATATACCAATGCGCTCCTGGCCAGATTGCCTCCTAGTGCATGTCGGACGATTAGCCTGGAGACAGGTCTGCAGAACAGTACGCTTGCGTTAGCGATCCTCGCATTCTCCTTCCCAGATGCCGAGACCTTCAGTGCCGTGTCTGTTTTCCCTTTGCTGTACAGCTTGTTTCTCCTCATTGATGGCGTGCTGATCACCATGGCCTTCCGCTACATCTCTCGTGGGGAGGTCGCTTACATCAGTGAAGGCAAGACACAGTCGGATCCAGCGCCAGCTCAACAGGAGAGCCAAGACATAGACGCCTCTGTTGTTGAGGACAAGGCAGCCGAGCAAGAAGCACACGCACCGGGACGTTTTGAGTCTGTTGTATGATGGGCAAGCTGTTTCCAAAGAAACGGCGACCCCTCGTTGCATGATCAGATGTCGTAGTAGTAGCAAAGGGCTGAAATTGCCCGAAAGAGAAGTTTTTGATTTAGAGGGTGGGATGAGGGCCCGTTGTGCCGGTGTGACAGGGCCGCAGTAGGTCCTCTGTAGGTGTTCATCGTAAAGGCATTGTTCGTTCCTACTTTTTGATATCGCCAGGCACTTGGGGATGCTTGCTGCGTGGCGGCCAAGCCGCGAACGCCCATGGCTTCTCCGGTGAATGCGCGGTTCATTCCATGGCAGTGCGATTTAGGAGACACTTGCCATGCGCAAATGAATTCACAGATCGTAAAGATCTTGCGAGCTAATGCGAGCTGCACGCAGCTGCCGCCACGCGAACGCTCGAATCAGATGATGAGCCGAAGAGCCGAAGAAAAGTCCGAAAGGAGATCTAGCGGGCTCCAGGCTCGCGCGAGCGCTTGCAGCTTCGCAGCCATGCGGGTGGTGCAGGCCGGACGAGCAGCGCGATGCCGATGCACACCTTCCGCGAGGACATCCGTGAGGTGATAGCGTCATTAGCTCATTAAAGTCACTCGGGTCTGATTGTTCTGCCGGCCAGAGGCGGCTGTGAACGGAGGGAGATGTGATTACTTTCCTTTGCATAAGCGACTCCACGCTGAAGCGCCGATTATCTCATACTAAAGTTATAAAACAGGAACCCGATATAGCGTTGGTAATCAGAACCATTTTGGCCCTTTTGGTTAGGCTGAAGAGACATGGTAGTGTCGGAGCCTGGGTGATGCTGGGCTAGGTAGAGGGCCGCTCGAAGGTCTCCAAACAGTTTCGGAACTCAAAAACCTTGAGGGTTTGCTAGGGTTTAGGGACCCTCGGACGTCCGGCCCCAGTCCGTGACTCAAAAAAAAAAGCCCTATTAATTAAGCCCTTCACCTTGTGTGCTTATGCGCGAAGGATTGTAGACAGACCTTGTCTGGCTTTGTCCGAGTGTGAGTGTCACAAACCCGAGCAAAAAGCCATTACGACTCCCTGTGCTTCAAGCAGGGCACCCTCAACCAACACGCGCAGCCCACAGCTTCAAATGCTAAGCCAAGATGCGAGCCTGACAGGAGCAGGGAATCGGCAAGAACATGGCCGTGCTCGTCGGGGACCCTTTGGTTGTCCGTTTAGGCATGAGTGTGCTGCTCAGGTAGGTGGCCGAAGGCTCCAACTCCAAGACCCACAGCCCCAAGTAGCTTTCATCACATGGCATGTCAAGCATGGGCTGGTGACCCCTTGGTGACCCCTTGTGCTTAGGCAGTCGCTTTCTCGCTGGATGGGAATTGGTTCGCCGCAGCTGGTGTCCACCTTTGTTTACCGTTGAGAATCGGTGAATAGGTGACAGTAGGGAGACCAACGCTGCCTGGAAGCAAAGCTGCAGGTCGGGGAGGAGCCGGGGCCTTGTGGGACGTCCAACAGATGACGAAGGCCCAAGCAAAGAGCTATCCATAGCTATCCGAGAGCTCCTGGCCCCCTGCGCAGGTTCGGATCCTGGAGCCGCTGCCTCGAGTTCACCAGTTCACCCTGAGATACTCAGAAAACGTTCAGGGCTCCGAGCAGAGTTTCAGAAGGCCCGCCCTTGAGACGGTCAGCAATGCCCAGATGGCTGCGGTGGCCTGGGCCTCAGCACTGTCAGGCCCTGTCAAAGAGAGTCTCTTCACTTGACACCTTACTTGCACTGTTGCCATCAAGTGCTGGGTCCCAGGCCGGCCTTGCTTTTGCACAGGACCGCAGCTTCAATGCTTGAACGGTTCCTGGAGATCTGCAATGATCTTGCTGTAAGCATCGATCTCTGCGTTTCGGTGAGGGGAAGAAGCGCTGAATTGGTCAGGACGGACAGTGGCTCGCCATCAGGGGCCCGGGATCTGTCAAGACATGATCTCAGAGCGTGACGTGGTGAGCTTCCTTACAAGTGTGCAGCAACGCCGACCGAAGGAAGACGGTTGAAAGGTGAAGTCACCAAAGAGAGAGCCGAAGCCCACTGAGGATGCTCCCCATGGCCAACGTGCAGCAGGGCCTGCCAGTCCCCAGCCCCAAGTGGGTCTCCTTCGACGGGCAGGAGCCTTCCTAGAGCCACTCTTCTCATCCTTGGCTTCCTGCAAGAGCTTGGGAAGAACTGTAAATTAGGGCTACCGCCATGTTGCTGCCGAGTCCGAGCTGCAGCTCGTCTCTGATGTTTCCAGGATTTAGGCCGGGCTGTGCTCACGTGGTCGTCGATGCCACGGCCCGAACTTCTCCTTGCTCCACTCTTTGTCTCGGGGGGGGGCCCCGGGATGCTCTGCGCTGCGGTCCGAGGCAGGGGCCCGCCAGGGCCTCGGGCCTCTACTCGTATACGGAGAGGCGCTCAGAGCGCATGCGACGTCGACAGAGCACTGACTGAGCCGCACAAGGAAGGCAATCTGCCACAGCAACACATCCATCGCCATGACAATGGCACTGTCCTGGCGCGAAGAGCTGAGCGCGTGGTTGTTCTGCTCGTTTCAGGCAGGAAGAGCGGACTGCAATGGGATCGGCTTGCCTTTGAGCCTTGCGAGCCTTGAGGCTGCAGTTCGCGCCGTGCAACGTCACTGCTGGATGCGATGCGCGTAGCAGTCTCGGCATTCCGGAGCGCCCTCTAAAGCCCAGCTGTTTTGACTCCAGGGATTCCACAGGCTTCTGCATGACATAGCCTCGGCTTGGCCCCCGCTTACTTCACTTCGGCCATTTTGGGACCGCAAAATTTTGGCCGACAGCGGAGGTGTTTCCAGTCCCACTGACCTCTCTTGAGGGAGTTTGCATCGTCGCTATGGCGGACAAATCGGAGAATCCGAT